CCAAAATTGCATACTTTTAAACAAAAGGTACTAGTAGCTGAGTTTATTAATAACGATATCTTAGTAACTTTAGTGCCAGATCATGTGGAAAAGCTCAAAGATTGTTTTTATCAACAATATCAGTGGATATCAGCGGTGTAGAAATGCAGCTACTTCCGGAATATCAAGATTTGTGTCCCAAAATTGCAAAATTTTAAACAAAAGGTACTAGTAGCCAAGTTTATTAATAACGATATCTTGGTAACTTTAGTGCCAGATCATGTGGAAAAGCTCAAAGATTGTTTTTATCAACAATATCAGTGGATATCAGCGGTGTAAAAATGCAGCTACTTCTATAATATCAAGATTTGTCTCCCAAAATTGCATATTTTCTAACAACGATACTAGTAGCTGAGTTTATTAATAACGATATCTTGGTAACTTTAGTGCCAGATCCTGTGAAAAAGCTTATAGATTGTTTTTATCAACAATATCAGTGAATATCAGCGATTTAAATATCAAGCTACTTCCGGTATATCAAGATTTGTGTCCCAAAATTGCATAATTTTTTAAAAAAAAGGTACTAGTAGCTGAGTTTATTAATAACGATATCTTGGTAACTTTAGTGCCAGATCATGTGGAAAAGCTCAAAGATTGTTTTTATCAACAATATCAGTTGATATCAGCGGAGTAAAAATGCAGCTACTTCTATAATATCAAGATTTGTGTCCCAAAATTGCATAATTTTAAACAAAAGGTACTAGTAGCTGAGTTTATTAATAATGATATCTTGGTAACTTTAGTGCCAGATCATGTGGAAAAGATCAAAAATTGTTTTTATCAACAATATCAGTGGATATCAGCGTTGTAGAAATGCAGCTACTTCCGGAATATCAAGATTTGTGTCCCAAAATTGCAAAATTTTAAACAAAAGGTACTAGTAGCCAAGTTTATTAATAACGATATCTTGGTACCTTTAGTGCCAGATCCTGTGAAAAAGCTTATAGATTGTTTTTATCAACAATATCAGTAAATATCAGCGATTTAAATATCCAGCTACTTCCGGTATATCAAGATTTGTGTCCCAAAATTGCATAATTTTAAACAAAAGGTACTAGTAGCTGAGTTTATTACTCACGATATCTTAGTAACTTTAGTGCCAGAGCATGTGGAAAAGCTCAAAAATTGTTTTTATCAACAATATCAGTGGATATCAGCGGTGTAAAAATGCAGCTACTTCTATAATATCAAGATTTGTGTCCCAAAATTGCATAATTTTTAACAACGGTACTAGTAGCTGAGTTTATTAATAACGATATCTTGGTAACTTTAGTGTTAGATCATGTGGAAAAGCTCAAAGATTGTTTTTATCAACAATATCAGTGGTTATCAGCGATTTTAATATCCAGCTACTTCCGGAATATCAAGATTTGTCCCCAAAATTGCATAATTTTTAACAACGGTACTAGTAGCTCAGTTTATCAATAACGATATCTTGGTAACTTTAGTGTTAGATCATGTGGAAAAGCTCAAAGATTGTTTTTATCAACAATATCAGTGGATATCAGCGATTTTAATATCCAGCTACTTCCGGAATATCAAGATTTGTCTCCAAAATTGCATAATTTTAAACAAAAGGTACTTAGTAGCTGAGTTTATTACTAACGATATCTTGGTAACTTTAGTGCCAGAGCATGTGGAAAAGCTCAAAAATTGTTTTTGTCAACAATATCAGTGGATATCAGCGTTGTAGAAATGCAGCTACTTTCGGAATATCAAGATTTGTGTCCCAAAATTGCATAATTTTAAACAAAAGGTACTGGTAGCTGAGTTTATTAATTACGATATCTTGGTAACTTTATTGCCAGATCATGTGGAAAAGCTTATACATGTAGATTAATTTTATCAACAATATCAGTGGATATCAGCGGTGTAAAAATGCAGCTACTTCTATAATATCAAGATTTGTGTCTCAAAATTGCATAATTTTAAACAAAAGGTACTAGTAGCTGAGTTTATTACTAACGATATCTTGGTAACTTTAGTGCCAGATCATGTGGAAAAGCTCAAAAAAAATTTTTTTTAACAATATCAGTGGATATCAGAGGTTAGAAATGCAGCTACTTCCGGGATATCAAGATTTGTGTCCCAAAATTGCATAATTTTAAACAAAAGGTACTGGTAGCTGAGTTTATTAATTACGATATCTTGGTAACTTTAGTGCCAGATCATGTGGAAAAGCTTATAGATTGTTTTTATCAACAATATCAGTGGATATCAGCGGTGTAAAAATGCAGCTACTTCTATAATATCAAGATTTGTGTCTCAAAATTGCATAATTTTAAACAAAAGGTACTAGTAGCTGAGTTTATTACTAACGATATCTTGGTAACTTTAGTGCCAGAGCATGTGGAAAAGCTCAAAAATTGTTTTTGTCAACAATATCAGTGGGTATCAGCGTTGTAGAAATGCAGCTACTTTCGGAATATCAAAGATTTGTCTCCCGAAATTGCATATTTCTAAACAAAAGGTACTAGTAGCTGAGTTTATTAATAACGATATCTTGGTAACTTTAGTGCCAGAGCATGTGGAAAAGCTCAAAAATTGTTTTTATCAACAATATCAGTGGATATCAGAGGTTAGAAATGCAGGTACTTCCGGGATATCAAGATTTGTGTCCCAAAATTGCATAATTTTAAACAAAAGGTACTAGTAGCTGAGTTTATTAATTACGATATCTTGGTAACTTTATTGCCAGATCATGTGGAAAAGCTTATAGATTGTTTTTATCAACAATATCAGTGGATATCAGCGGTGTAAAAATGCAGCTACTTCCGGAATATCAAGATTTGTCTCCCAAAATTGCATAATTTTAAACAAAAGGTACTAGTAGCTGAGTTTATTAATAACGATATCTTGGTAACTTTAGTGCCAAATCATTTCTCCCCAATTAGTATAATTTAACACAAAAGGTACTGGAATGTTCAAGTCAGTTACTAGCTAGTTACTAGTGGCCAACTTTACTTGCTTGTCGTAGCCAGCTACTATTAGATAACTTTTCCACTTGTCGTAGCCAGCTACTAGTAGCCAGTTACTAGTAGCCAACTTTTCTTGCTTCTCGTAGCCAGCTACTAGTAGCTAACTTTACCACTTGTAGTAGCCAGCTACTAGTAGCCAGTTACTAGTAGCTAACTTTACACATCTAACAGGACAAACGTATCATGAAAAATACAGGTCAACACATTATTTTCAAACAAAGAATGCACATAAAAACAAGGAATAAACGCAAAAAATCTAAGACCATGAAATGAGTACTACATGTCGGCCACGAGTTTCGAGAGTGCAATCGAGTGTAATGAAATCGAACGGTTTAAAAAAACTTCTATGACGTCACCCATTGTTATTAGTCTACGTGTATTTTACCGATTCAACCAGCACTAGTTGGATATTTATAGATCCAACTGGCCATCAGTTGGATATTCAAAATATCCGACCGACAGGCAGTTGGATATTCAAAATATCCAACTGTCTATCGGTTGGATATTTCAATACCCAACTGAGGTGCAGAAAACATAAAACAATGAACAAAAGAGATAAAAACAATTTTAAAATGTATTTCCAATGCATATGAAAAATAAAATAATTACTCCAAATTTGCCACACTGTTAGAATTAATTTCCAGTGCATACGGAATTACTGTAATAACTCCACATTTACTGTGTTTCAAATGCACTTCCAATGCTCACAGAAATAACAATTCCTCAATATTATTTCAGGGTCCGTTATCAGTAAATCCCTTCAGATTATCCGATATTCATTTCTGTTACATTCTTTTCCAGCGTACTTCCCATAAGAACTTAAATAATTGACAGCTTATCTATTTTTCGAAAAATTCAATATCAAGATCTGCAATCAAAATGATTGCAGATTGAATTTTTGCAGCAGGTTCAGCATAACACCGCCAATCTCTTTATCTGTTTAAGCACTATTACAAGTATTGCCCGAATGGAACTCCATAAGAATCCAACGCTTTTCCTCAACAAACCATCATCTTATGATATGTAATGACAAAATCTTATTCTTTTATAAAAAATCCTGTAGTTTTCTTCAGTTTTCAGGTCAAAAGTATCCAAAACACTATTTGAACCTCTCTAATTTACACTGGATTTAGAAATATTCTTTGTCTGATTTCATGACTGTTCAGTACAATGAAAAGAGTTAAAAATGAAATCAGCACCATGTAGTTTCTTGCTCACTAGTCCATGAATAAAAGGGGTGTTCGATCAGGCCATTGTTTTGTGTCAAAGTTGGATATTTGAATGGAATACATCCTATTGTATTACAGCAAGTTGGATATTTGAATGAGTGAATGTTTCTTTGGGGCCCAAAGTAGGGAATTTTTTAAGTAAAATAAATAACTCGATAGTGTTGAATAGTTTAGAGAAAACATCCCCTCCTCGGGCCTTCGGCCCTCGGAGAGAATGTTTTCTCTAAACTATTCAACACCATCTCGTTATTTATCCCTTACTTATATACCCGTCTGACGGTGCCTATTTATGAGAAGTGTTCATCTTTAAGATCGTACTATGACGATTATGAAAAAAAAAAACAATGTCCTTTTACGAGTAAATGCCGGCTCTATTTGCTGATGTTCCATTCACCAATTCTATAATGAGCTACAGATAGATTTGTCATAAAAAGACTACTTGAATTTGTTTTCTCATGTTATAGTTCAATTTTCTTTTTAAATTTTTTTTAAATATTTGTAACTTTTAACCACTTTTCATGTGTTTGAGAGTCATGGCATGCATTGAAATAACCATCCAGGCCTCTCAGTTGAGCAAGAGTATCCTCTATATTTAATCAACTTCCTCCTTTCTCTCGTAATATTTTGAAGGACTTTCATCAAAATCCATAAAGGACTGTTACTATTCTATCTCGAATCTTAAGTTACAAGTTATAAAAAAAACAAATCAGTGTTTTATTTTGTCACTTAAAATTTTAAACAAATCTGTTTTACATTAGTTTATCTTCCATCCATTAAACGATGACCTCCAACTAGAATAGCTAAAGAGATTCCCTATATGATTTTCAGTAGGATGAGTGCGGACAAACACCACGTCACCGTGGTTGATCTTCACCACCACCACTCCTGTTGTACTTCTAACATTTGAAGCACCCTTGCCTTCTGACAGCATGGCTGCAACAGGGTTTGAGTTGACAATCATCTCAGAACATATATAGCCACCGTAAAGGTTCCATGTAAACACATAAACACCGTGTTGAGGAGCAATGAATATTCCAGAATATGGATTATAATGATTGCCAACATTTGTCACTATGCTGTCGAATTTGATCGTGTAATCTTTCGCTATATCGGTCTCGAATCTAGACACATAAGCAGAGAATGCTATACCGACTGCGAATGGAGGCGTTGGCGTGGAGACATCTGAAAGATGTTAGAGAAAAACGTTTTCTGGAAACGTGTATCTAGAGTTGTGATGCAAATAATAAGGGTCTAATACAGCATTCAATGCAAACTTCTTTGTGAATGCTTCTTGTACTGAATCTGAAAAGGATCTTTTCGCTCAGAGAACGATGTCTCAATTCATGTAAACTGAACCAGTTCTGAATCAATCACTCATTCGGTTGAACTTAAATTAAACATCTATGTTCAACTGATTGAAGCGAAAAGTCAAAAGTATAGAGATACTAGTAGACAGATAGATAGATAGATAAATAAATTCAAGTATTTTCCACAACATTGCTATTGCAGAGAGAGAGAGAGAGAGAGAGAGAGAGAGAGAGAGAGAGTACTATTATTCTACTTTGTGAAGGTAAATAATTAAGTGCTTTAATGGCTGTAAGTCAGCGTACAGAATGCACTAAAGATATTTCAGGCTTATGTGTTCATCACCTAGCTGATTTTAAATGCTTATTTGAGATCAATCCAACACCTGTCCTCACCTGTCAAAAGACGTTTCTCCTTTGATGATTTATGTGTCTTGTTCACGAATTCATTTGACTTATAGGAGCTGAAAGTAGTTGGTTGGTTTTTGGTTTCAGATATCGTAAAAAATTTGTTGTCCATTCAAGATTGTTTGGCCCTCTGTGAAAGAACTTGACGAAGAGATTTCGTTGAAATTTTCCTTACTTAAATCTATTGGGCTCGTAGACTTCTTGATACTTCTGCCAAATGTAATGTTTATATCTTTCTTTTTAGACATCTCATTGTTATTTTCCAAAACTGATATTCTCGCCATTAGTTGCTGGTTTGTAGAGAGTAATTTCGAGACTGTAATTTTGACATTGTCCATTTGCACATTTGAGTTTTGTAGCTTTTCTTCTAGTTGCAACACTCTTCTTTTTAAGTCTTGGTTTTCTTTTTCCATTAGCGTTTGAAAAAGTCTGCTTCCCGCTTTGTCTTCTGCTTCGTTCTTTTCTTCCATTCTCAGTACGAGGCTGTCCAGAAGATTTTCCAGGTGATCAAGTCTTCCTCGCATGATTTTGCCGACGATATTTTAACCAGAAACACCAGGAATGATATTCTTAAAATCATTTCGAATCTGTCAAAGCCAGTTATCAAAAGTAAGTGTTCTATTTCTTCTCAAAATGATAAGCATTGTATAATACGAAGGTATTGTTCCTGATAATGTATTTATAATACAGTATAAGTGCGAGAATCTTTAATATATTTTTATCCTTCTTTTGAAAATGTAGCATTCAAGTATAGAAATGACTTACAAACATTTCTCAAAAATTAAAAGAATGATGAAAATTTTCTTTACGCATTAAATTCTTTTCCTTTTTCGAAATCGTTGAGAAAAACAGTCATTGGTATAGACAATAAATTTAACCGATAGTTATAATTCGACGAAAATTTTTGAAAGTGACACTACAGCTGTATACTTGTATTAGATAAACCATTTTTTTTAGTTTAAAAGGAAATTTTCGCGTAAAAGTGATAGTTATTTTGTGTTGGAAGATTTTGAGTCATTTATATGTATAAAGATAAGAATAACTAGAAAATCGTTTTCTGACTTTTAGTGATAGAAGTAAAGTAGATAAAATAATTTAAACTCGTTTCTCGTTACATGTATTTTAAAGAAATATTACTGACTCTGAACTCCACTAAGAAATATACTGAAAGGATAAAGAAACGCATATGATACTTTTTGGTACTCTATTCAGTAACGTAGCATCGTTTTTGAAAGGGGCAGCCAGAGAAAAATTACTTACCTGAAAGAACTTGACAAGCAAAAAAAAAAAAAAAAAAAAAAAAAGAAAAGAAAATTTTCCCAAATTCGAACATCCTATTTCCTATCCTATTTCTTGGAGGGGGGGGGGGGGCTTTTTTGAACACAGGCCTCTCAGTATCAAATTTCCTTCATACAATTACTACATTACGATAATATCACTTTACTCTAGCCAAAAGTGTGGGGGGCACCTGCTTTTCAATGAACATTTTAAAAGTAGTAAAAGTACACTTTGTAATTATTGTTGATCATTTTTGAATATTTGACGTTTATGTGCAAAAGTTAAAGTTTCGCACTTTATTTGTGTTAACCTGCTACAATACCTCGCTGGTGGTGTGAAGCAATAGGGTTACTCTTGCAAGGGGAAGATCAAATTTCTGTCGTTGAATGAATTAACGTTTCCCAGTCAACCATATTTCGTCTTAGACATCGGATGCTGACAGTGGGAAGTGTAAACTATCGCCCTAGAAGTGGACGTCCAAGGGTAACGAATCGGCGCCAAGACAGAGAATTGCATTACATTTGTACTACAGATAATTTCTTTCACCTGATCAATCATACAGGGTGATCGGGGCGAGTATGACTCATCGGAAAGATAGTACACTCACTCTTCTTATGCAATTGACCCCTACGTATTTAGTATTTCAGGGTTCCGTGAATGTTCCTTTTCAACGATTCATTAATGTTGATAAAATTTTGGGAATTGTAACTGAGAAAAGGAATGTTCACATTAAAATTATCTGCTTTCTGTGTTTATCTTCTTTCTCTCATCACTCGTATTGCTGTGATAGGTATGTTATCTACTATTTATCAAATAAAAACAGACCAAATTGTGTTCCTTTTTTAAAAATTTCCAAATTATAATTTTAAAACAAATCCTTCATTTTACATGTTAAATGACTTTTTTAATTTCAAATCCCAGGTTTTCAACATTGAAAGACGATCTCCAACTGGAACCACTATAGAGATTTCCACTATGCGCTTTTTTAATTTGATTGTTGTAGTATCTACTATTTATTTGACCAAATTGTGTTCCTTTTTTAAAAATTTCCAAATTATAATTTTAAAACAAATCCTTCATTTTACATGTTAAATGACTTTTTTAATTTCAAATCCCAGGTTTTCAAGAAATTTTTAATTTAGTATATCTTCCATCCATTGAAAGACGATCTCCAACTGGAACCACTATAGAGATTTCCACTATGCGCTTGAGTAGGATGAGTTCGGACAAACACCACGTCTCCCTGATTGACCTCTACCACCACCACTCCTGTTGTAGTTCTCACATTTGTTGCTCCTTTGCCGGATGTATATATGGCTGCAACAGCATTAGAGTTGACAACAACCTGGGAATAAATATAGTTATCATGGTTGCAGTAAATGTTCCAAGTAAATACATATGCACCATGCTGCGGAGCAGTGAATATTCCGGAATGTGGATTATAATGGTTGCCGATGTTTGTCACTATGCTATCGAATTTAATGGTGTGGTCTTTTGAAATATCTGTTTCCAATGCAGAAACAAAGGCAGAAAATGCTACACCATCTGCAAATGGAGGCTTTGTTGTGTGTACACCTGAAATTAATCCAAAATTTAGCTTAACTTGTTCATGATGCATTTAATGTAGATCAAATACAACATATAAAATCAAACACACCAGTCTGAAGTGTATTAATGAAAATGTTGAAGATAACAAACAATGATATTTTTTTAGAAACCCACAAACAAAACGTGGCTATAAACAGTTTGTACAAAAAACTTAGACCCTTGGAATTTCCAGAAGTATGATAACTTATTTTGTTGGATATACTTGCTTACTACTGGTATCGAAGTAATGCGTAGAAGATTTTTTTGTGCAATTCTTACCCGTCAAAAGACGTTTCTCCTTAAATGTCTTGTTCTGAAATGGATTTGACTTGAGAATGGTTGGTTGATTTTTGGTCTCAGTCATGGTAAAATTTTGTTGTGCTTCGAGGAATATTTGGCCCTTCGTTATGGAACTTGACGAAGAGAATTCATCGGAATTCTCTTTCGATAAAGCTGTTGCACTCGTAGATTTCTTTATACTCCCGCCAAACATAGTATTTATATTCTTCTTCTTCTCATATCTGTCATGACTGTTTTCCAAAGCTGTTATTCTCGCATTTAGTTCCCGGTTCGTAGACAGTAGTTCCAATATTATAGTCTTCACATTGTCCATTTGTGCGTTAGAGTTATGTAGATTTTCTTCTAGTTGTAGAACTTTTCTTTTTAAGTCTTGATTTTCTTTTTTAAATCGCGCTTCAAAAAGTCTCTCTATTCTGCTTCCTGCTTTGTCTTTAGCTCCGTTCTTGTCTTCCATTCTCAACATGAGGCTTTCCAGAAGATTTTCCACCTGATGAAGTCTTTCCTTGCATGATTTTGCCGACGATATTTTAACCAGAAACACCAGGAATGATATTCTTAAAATCATTTCGAATCTGTCTTAGAAATCAGTTATCAAAAGTTATATAGTGTTGTATTTCTTCTGTAACACAAAGGTAGTATTCCTGATAATGCAATGCACTTGATATACAGTGTAAGTGCGAAACGTTTCATATATCTGTTGTTTTAAAAAGTAACAATCAAGCATGAAAATGACCTACAACCATTTCTCAAGCATTGAAAGAATAGTAAAAAATCTTTAATTCATTTCATCCATTTACTTCTGCTGAATTGTTGAAAAAATAATAAAAGGAATAGACTATAAATCAAATGGATGGTATGACTGGATTATATTTCTACGTAAAATCTATCAAATTGACACTACTGTATATTTGAAATTAAAATGAAACTTCGAGTTCGGACCAAGAGAGAGTAATTTTGAGTAGAAAAAATGTGTGTTATTTATAAAGATTAGATAAAATTTATCGTTCTTTGTCTTTTGTGACAAAAATCAAGTTGATCAACGTTTTAAAAAATCGTTTCTCGTTGCATATATTTTTACGAAATACCAGTAAAATATCTCTGACTCTGAAGTCCCTTAAGAAGGCAGCACAAAAACTGTTAGAGATCTATGGGCCACGACGTTCACCTGAGTCATCTTGGCCCTGCTGTTCTATGTCTTAAGAGCCCCCGCTGTAATACTTTGATTCCTTATTTCAGCAGTTCTACCACACGGGGTCATTTTTTGAAACTTTTAGAATCTCTACTACCTCAGAAAGTTTCCACACATGTGTCAGCTTTTCTGGTCCAGTATTTCTTCAAAGCATAATTTTAAGGTTTTTTTTTATATGTTTCAATCTAATAATAATTCCTTTTTGTAGCCCCACCCTAATCCTAGAGGCGATCATTTGAATATTTTTTATTAGAATCTTCACTACCTCAGAAAGCTTTTACATAAGGTTTACATTTTCTAGTCAAGGGGTTCTTGAAAAGAAGATTTTGAATGACCCCGCCTATTTTTGTTTTTTGTTTTTTTATTCAGATACCCCGGTAGTACATGTACTAGGAATTTTTTCGTTATGGTAAAGTAAAATTCTCTCTTATTCTTGCGCCAATATTTAGCTCTCTTCAAGTGAACTTGACAAAGGAACGTGAACAAGTTGTCTTTCAATAAGATTGTTGTCTTTGAGACTTTTTAAGGTTTTTACAAAACATTGCGTTTTTATCTTTCTTCTCATATATTTCATGGTTATTTTATTGGCTGCTATTTTTAGGTCGCCTGAGTAAACTCAGTCGACCTATTGTTATCCGTTTTTGTCCGTTGGTGTTCGTCGTGCGTTAACATTTGATCATTTTCAGCTTCTTCTCTGCAACCGCTGTACTAAATTCAATCAATTTTGGCACAAAGCATATATATGGGTGATGGGAAACAAAAATTGTGAATTTCATGGTCCTTGTCCTCCTAGGGTCTAAGGGGTGGGGCCAGAACCACTAAAAATAGTGCAATCTTTGAAAAATCTTCTTCTTTACTCCTAAATATGCAGTCAAACTGTTTGTATGATTGTAATCAGCATAGAGTCTTCTACCAAACTTGTGAAATTTATTGCCCCAGGATCAGTTCTAGTGCTAGGTCGGGGCAAAATATATGATATATAGTGAAAATGCATTATTTCTTTGAAATTATTCTATTCTGCTCCTGGGCATTAAATAAACTGACCAAGTGATTATTAAGTTGAATATGACTGCCTCTTCCAAAATTGTGAATTTCATGGTCCCAGAGTCAGGGGCTCTAGTGCTAGGGCGGGGGTACATATAGATTATATGGTGAAAATGAATTATTTCTTTGAAAATCTTCTTCTCAGCTCCTGGACATTAAATAAACTACCCAAGCACATAGTTTAGTTGAATAAGGCTACTTCTTCCAAAATTGTCAATTTCGTGGCCCCAGGGTCAAGGCTTCTGGTGTTAGGATGGGGCACTAATTGATTACCAGTATATAGTGAAAATGCATAAATTCTTTGATATTCTTCTCCTTTGCTCCTGGACATTGAATAAACTAACCAAGTGCATAGTTATGTTGAATAAGGTTGCCTCGTCAAAAAGTGTGAATTTCATGGCCCCAGGGTCAGGGGTTATACTGTTAGGGCGGGGCTATATAGATTATATAGTGAAAATGAATTATTTCTTTGGAAATCTTCTCTGCTCATTGGTATAAAACAAACAAACCAACAACATAGTTATAATGACCAAGAGTGCCTCTTCCAGAATTGTGAATTTCATGACCCCGGGGTCAGGGGTTCTGGTGTTAAGATGGGGTTCTGTTGATTATATAGTAAAAATGCATAAATTCTTTGAAAAACCCTATTTTTAAATAAAGTGCCTGTGTCTGGGTATTAAACAATAAACTACATGTATGTACATAGTTATGATGAGGAAGGATGCCTCTTTGAAATTTGCGGATTTCAGGCCCCCTGGGTCAGGTCTACTTGTGTTAGGGCGGGGCTCTAATGTTTATATAGTGAAAATGCATGAATTCTTTGAAAATCTTTTCCTTTACTCCTGGTATTATGCCAATGACCCTGGTACATATTTATGATGAAGAAAGCTGCCTCTTCCAAAATGGTTAATTTCCGGGCCCCTAGGTCAGAGCTACTTGGAGAAGGGGGGTGTTACATAGTCTGAAAATAAATTAATGCTTTGAAATCTGCACTTTGGTATTAATCAACAATTTATGGTGAAATAAAATTTATGATAACAATTCATGATGAAATGAAATATGTGGCCCCAGGGTCAGTGGTTCCTTTGGGATGGGGTGCACAAGTGGTTATAAAGTGGAAATACATTTTCTCTTTGTTACTCTGATCTACCTCTGGATATTAAGTATCCAAATTAAGCATGCTTTGTGTATAGCTATGATAAGCAATGGTGTCTCTTTCAAAATTGTAAATTTCATGCCCCCTGGTTTAAAACTCGAATCAAATTCAATTGTTGGAAAGTTGTTACATGATACTCAGGTGACCTATAAGACCCATGGGCCTCTTGTTGTATTAAAAGAACCTTTTATGGACTCTTCTTCCAAAATTCTAACTTTCATTTTACCCATTTGAATGTCAGAGTAAAACATACTTCCCTCAACTTGCAAAACTCTTCTTTCCAAGTATCTCGCCGACATATGAATGATATATTTCCGAAGTGGCGTTAATTAAGGTTTTAAAAAATATATTTGTATTCAACTGATACTTTCTGTCTGTTAATTAATAATATTTATAAACGGTACTTTTATTAAAGAAGTATTTACTTTTAATTTACATAGTTTTGGAGCTACATGTATTGTAAAAATTAACTTTTAGATACCTTGGCCTTTGGCAATACCTTAAACATTAATAATCAATCAATCCAAGCTTTGCTTTTTTTCAAGCTACATGTATTTCAAAAGATTTGTCATATGGTTCTGATTCTTGTCCTTCATCCTCAAAAAGATATTCTAATTTATTAAGTCTCTACCTTAATGTATTTGCAAACATTGTTTGAACCAGAAAATTAAAAATAATTAACATCTTAAAAATCCCTCCAAATCTGTCTAAATCTAATTGTAATGTATTTATGTGTAGTAGAGTTCTTTTATCTTGTGAATTTTACATCAATTGCATGTTTTCTTTTCTTTCTTAAAAAAGACCATAACTTATCTGATAACCTTCCCTCTAAAACAAAGTGTCTTGTCACTATTGCAATATATTTGCGTGTAGAAATTAAAACAATAACACCACGAAAACAATTAAAGGGGTTGTTGCATTAGATAAATATATGGAAAATTAAATATTCTGGACATAAGACTTTTTCTGGTTTTGTTACTGGCATGTAGAAAAATTGTATACAATTGCATTGATTTTCCTCATCATATGACAAATTATATCCTTGTTTTTGCTCCTCTGTATTCCATACCGTGTCAATTTCTGGATGAGTTTCCATCATACTTAAGGAACATATCCAAGAATAAAAATACAAAATCAATAATACCGAGAGGGTATTGAATATTTTGGAGAAGTATATGGATATAACGAACAGTATTCAAAATCAAAGTCCATGAAAATAATACAAAATAGGAGCAGAGCAAACACGGACCCCCGAAACATCAGAGGTGGGATCAGGTGCCATGAAGATTATTTTCTCCCTGAGTGGATTTTTTCTTAAATTATTCAACACTACATCTTGTTATTTATGTAACAAAGACTTTTTATAACATCATGGTCTATATTGTAACTATAGTCCACGTGTATATTTTTAATTATTGAAATATCAAGTTTAGTTGAATATAATAAGGTCCTAAAGTTTCTTTATTTTGAATTTTTATAGATGTGGGCCTCTTAGAAAAAAAAATCTTGTCACAAGGATTACATATGTTAAGTGTAAAAGCCCAGGCACCAACTGTTCAAAAAAATGTCCAAGGTTACAGTTGGGTAAAATTTTGTTAAAGTGACTCAGACTCCAAGATCAAAAGGTAAAATTTCATGGTACCAAAATAAGGTCTAGCCACAAGGAATATACATGCAAAATATGAAAGCCATAGCATTAATCAATCAAAAGTTATGGGTAAGGTCTTCTTCGATTTTTGCTAACAAACGAACAAACAGATTATCAGACAAACAGACAGACAGAAGGACGGCAAAAATTATATACCCCCGAATCTTCGATTACGTGGGCATAAAAATAAACTAGAGGTACTATGAGCACTGAGCTCACAAAATGATAACCCTTACTACCTAGCCTCCCAAATGATTTTAATTACAAAGTCCATAGGAGACAGGAAATAAGTGTCAGATGAAAGAGTTAAATAGGAGGTCACAATGTCAGTATATAATAAAGAATCAGTAAAAGTATTGAATAAATTTTGTTCAGTGGTATAGGAGTAGTTGCGGATAAGATGGGTACAGCTCAATATTATAGAAAGATTCAGAGTGTCCATGTTTGCTATGGAAAACCCGAAATAAGTCTCAGATTAAAAAGTGAAAGATAGGAAGTTCATACATAATGACATTATGTAACAAGATTCGGTGAAATTCTGGTGTAACAGAATTTCATTCAGTAGGGTAAGAGCGTAACGCAAAAACGTATACATGTATATCGAAAGACAGACGGACACCACCATCACTATATATAGCTGATGCTTTTCAATTGGAATTATAAAACACACCAATGACCAGTGTTTTAAAATAAGAAAAGGTGCCTCATTGTGATAGGGGCGGGTATGACCCATCGGAAAGATATACTCACTCTTCCTAAGCAACTGACACCCCCCACCCCCACCCTATTTAGTGCTTCAGGGTTCTGTGAATGTTCCGTTTCTACAATTCATTAATATTGATAAAATCTTTGGAATTCTTACTGTGAAAAGAAAAAGTCACTTTAAAAATATCTGCCTTCAGTGTTTATCTTAAATTCTTTCTTCTATCACGCGTATTGCTTTGATAGGATTATTTGCTGTTATTCATCAAATTCAAACAGAACAAATTAAAAAATTTTCATGAATTTCGAATTTTAAGTTTAAAACAAATCATCCATATCATGACTTTTTCTTTAAATTCAACGTTTTCAATGAATTTTTAATTTAAATATATCTTCCATCCATTGAATGACGACCTCCAACTGGAGCCGCTATAGATATTTCCACTGTGAAATTCTGTAGGATGAGTACGGACAAATACCACGTCTTCCTGATTGACCTCTACCACCACCACTCCTGTTGTTGTTCTTACATTTGTTGATCCCTGACCTGTTGTGATCATGGATCCAATCAACAATACCGGTAGTTATTTCCATTCTTATGTCGACACAATATCTTGGTGAGCTTGAAATATAAAAAATATCACAGAATGTGAATTTTTATTTAATATTTGGATCTTTTATCTGAAAAAGACGGTGTTGGTTATTGAACAACAAAGCTTTATGATCACACTTTTCAACTGTCAAATTCCCTTATTTCTGAGTTGATTCGATACGGAAGAGCATGTTCTACGTTTGAACAATGTCTAAAATGAGGTAAGTTATTGAGTACGTTCTATGGTCGATACAAATACTTTGTTACCAAATACAGTTTAACTTCAAGTCAAATGCGGACAGACTTTTTCATACTGATTGATATGCCATTATTTACACACTGATCGAGTTGTACACGAATTTATCGCTGTTATTTCCCAATCATGATAAGGAGTGCACGGCGGGTGTGACCGATCAGCAGGGGATGCTCACTCATCCATGGCATCTGATCCCACAATTTTATGTTTCGCAGGTCCGGTTTTGCTCCACTCCTATTGTTTAATTGACTTTTGAGCTCGAATATTGTTCGATATCTCCACATATTTCATCTGACTTCGTGTTCCTTTAGATGTACTTTAGTTGAACTTCCTTCTGGAAAACAATTTAACAGATAAAAAAAGAATCCTGATTATTAAGAAATAGGACATTAATTTAAATCTATGATTTCCTGGACGCAAGTTTTAATAACAACTGTTAATTTTATATTTTATTTTTAGTTTCCATGTTTCTTTTTTATCAAGTTTCAACTTTAATATATCTTCCACCCAGTAAACGATGACCTCAAGTCGTGGCTGCTACAGAGATTCCCAATATGACCTTGAGTAGGATGAGTGCGGACAAACACAACGTCTCCCTGATTGACCTCTACCACCACCACTCCTGTTGTTGTTCTTACATTTGTTGATCCCTGACCTGTTGTCAGCGTGGCTCCAACAACATTAGAATTATGGACAATCTGGGAATAAATCAAGCCATTTGTGTGACAGTAAAGGTTCCATTTAAATACATATATTCCATGCTGTGGGGCGATGAATATTCCGGAAAGTGGATTATAATGGTTGCCTATATTTGACACTATGCTGTCGAATTTAATCGATTGGTCCTTTGCTATATCTGTATCCTCTTTAGACACATACACAGAAAATGCTACACCATCCGCAAATGGAGGCTTTGTTGTGTGTACGCCTGGAATTTATCATAAATGTAGCTATCTTTTTTTTCTCTTAAAGTCAGAATCATGACACACTGAATGTACATCAAATCTTTCATTTTATAGCATGAACACAGATATAGAGGAAACGTGTATTAATAAAATTGATAAAGATAACGTACAATGAGTGTTCCCAGAAAACTACAAACTATTGTGCAATAAGGGCAAATTCTGGAAATTCCAGAGGTACGATCATATTGGTCTAGGAGAAGTAAGCATCCCTTGTCGACCGATCATACCCGACAGCTGCCCTATGCAACGGCAGTAATTCGTTTCCATACCTTTTGTGAAGAATATGGAACGGATCTAATGTGTGTAATGGCACCTATGGTCACTCTGTCGAAAATTGTCAAGTCATATATGTAGCATCAAAAGCATGCGTAAATTAAAATAACCACATGATAAAGAGGTTAATTTTAAGATACTGAAGGTAAATGGTATGGATAACACATTCTATTTGATATATGTTTGCTAATTACCAAAGTAATGCTAGGATTATCTGGTTGTACAATTTTCTCACCTGTCAAAAGACGTTTCTCCATTAATGAATTATTTGTCTTGTTCTGGAATGGATTTGACTTGTGAGAGGACAGGAGATTGTTTGGATTGTGTTTGGTCTCATACATCATACAATTCTGTTGTGATTTCAAATATATTTGGCTCTTTGTGTCAAAACTTGACGAAGAGGTTACATTGGGATTTTCCTTCAACAAAACTATTGGGCTCGTAGATTTCTTGATACTTCTGCCGAACATTGTGTTTATATCTTTCTTCTTTTCAGATATCTCATAGTTATTTTCCAAAATTGTTATTCTCTCATTAAGTTGCCCGTTTGTTGATAGTAATTTCGAGACAGTAGCCTTGATAATGTCCATTTGTTTGTTAGTGTTGTGTAAATTTGCTTCTAGCTGTAAAACTCTTCTTTTTAAGTATTGGTTTTTTTCGTAATCTGCGTTTGAAAAAGTCTTCTTCCTGCTTTGTCTTCTGCTTCGTTCTTGTCTTCCATTCTCAATATGAGACTGTTCAGAACATTTTCCACGTGATCAAGTCTTTCCTGGCATGATTTTGCCGACGATATTTAACCAGAAACACTAGAAATAATATTCATAAAATCATTCCGAATCCGTTGCAATGAGTTATCAAAGTTTGACAGTGTTCTATTTCTTCTGAAAATGATAAGCATTGTATGACATAAATATTCCTGATAATGCAACATTGCTTCTCAAATGCTTTAGAGATTGATTCAAATAAACATCTCACAGCCGATTGAAAATTAGACTTAATTCGATGTCTGTTTCATAATCTTGGGGACTGGTTTACTTGAAGAAGCAAAGTATGGATAACCATAACTGAGAGACCAACTCTTTGTAAGTTTTTTAAGTTAAACTTGCGTTGAACTACCTCAATAGCTTCCAGAAAACAATTTTCAAAAATGAAAAAAATGAGTCCTAGTGATTAAGAAATGGGATTTCTACATTTCTAATTCTTGTATGATTTCCTAAATTCAAGTTAATAACAACTGTTATTTCGTGATTTATTTTTAATTGTCATGTTTTTTTTTTTAGTTTTAACTTAAATTTAATATATCTTCCATCCATTAAAAGACGACCTCCAATCGGAATGACTATAGAGATTTCCGACATGGTTGCCAGTAGGATGAGTTCGAACAAACACCACGTCTCCCTGATTGACCTCTACCACCACCACTCCTGTTGTGGTTCTTATATTTGTTGCTCCCTCGTCGGATGTAAACATGGCTGCAACAGCATTTGAGTTGATTACAACCTGCGAATAAATATAGCCGCCCCGCATGACAGTAAAGATTCCAGGTAAACACATACACACCATGATGCGGAGCAGTGAATGTTCCGGAATGTGGATTATAATGGTTGCCTATGTTTGTCACTATGCTGTCGAATTTAATGGTGTGGTCTTTTGAGATTTCTGTCTCATAAGTAGACACAAAGGAGGAAAATGCTACACCATCTGCAAATGGAGGCTTTGTTGTGTGTACACCTGAAATTAATCCAAAATTTAGCTTTCTTCGAGTCTTTAACATGTTTAAGTATGGGTCATGATGCATTCAATGTAGATCAAATTCAACATTTTAAAGCAGACACACGAGTCTGTAAATTATTATAAAGTCAGAAGTGTATTAATTGTTGAAGATAAAAAACGGTGATTGTTTTCAGAAACCCACAAACATTTATCTATAAAGAGTACAAAAAAATTAGACACTTGGAATTTCCAGAAGTAGGATAACTCATTTTATTGGATATATATATATACACTCAACAAAACTTCTAAGTGTTCACTATAATAAATAAATTTATTTAAAAACCACTGTATAGAATGATGTGATATTTTCAAATTATTACAGCAAATGAGTGTTCTCAACAATTATTGAAAGAAAATCAAATATACCCGATGAAAACCAGTGTTCCGTGACTAAGCTTAAAAATAATAAAAGAGTACTTTGCGGCACGTGTTTTATGTAATTAGTGTCTTTTTGTGATCATTATCAAATTTTGAAAAATGGTTTTACTAAAAAACATAAAACATTGGCAAAAAGACCTTTGAGATGTAAGGTAGAGCTGTTGGAATGTTGATATCTGGACAATCTTTGCACCACGTTTTACTCACTTTTATTTTAGTGCTTAATTGTACCTGATATTACTTTTAAAAATTAACAACCAGTATTAAAACCCATTTCAACACATTTTTCTATAGGCTTCACGTCATTTTTCATCACCAATTTATCACAATTTGAAAGTTTTTGACAAAATTTAACCAAACCGGAAGTGACCTTGATTTTCGTCCGAGGCCAAATTTTCGCGTCACACCATGTTAAAAGAGTAATAAATTGTTGTGAAACAATCTTAGAAACATGAAAAATAACAATTTCAATCGTACGAAAATCATAAGAAATCGATGCTAGTGATAGTCTATTTTCAGCTCAAGCAGTCTGAATTATCCTTCAAGAGGTCACTTACGTGCTAAACACCCTAGGATATTGACCAAAAGGCATCTGTGTGATGCTGCACTCTCAAATCCCGGATCTACATGAATCCCGTTCAACACAATTGGGATTTTATAAGAAATGTCACCCCCCCCCTTTTTCCACGCAATTTCAATGGTTTGGAAGGATCTAGACAGTAGGTGTGGCAGCAGATGGGTCAATCTCCTATTCAGGGGTTCATGCTATTCAACTGTAATTACAGTCTTGTAATAATTAGAGCGAGTGGTGGTCTTACTCCATAGAGCTTGTTTGTGTGAATTTTCATTTTGAGGGTACTTCGTTTCCTTGACAATTTGCTAAAAATTCTGTCGAGATACTTACATGAAATGTATGCAACATTCAAATTAAATATGCATCATTAATCAAGAATAAAAGAAATTATTTATTGTTTGCATTTGTTCTCTAAAACTTCAAAAATGTTAGGTGAACACTTAGAAGTTTCGTTCAGTGTATATGCTTACTGCTAGTATCAAAGTAATGCGTAGAAGATCTTTTTTGTGCAATGCTCACCTGTCAAAAGACGTTTCTCCTTAAATGTCTTGTTCTGGAATGGATTTGAATTGAGAATGGTTGGTTGATTTTTGGTCTCAGTCATGGTAAAATTTTGTTGTGCTTCAGGGAATATTTGGCCTTTTGTGATGGAACTTGACAAAGCGAATTCATCGGAATTCTCTTTCAATAAAACTGTTGGACTCGTAGACTTCTTGATACTCCCTCCAAACATAGTATTTATACCTTTCTTCTTCTTCTCATATTTTTTCTGGTTGTTTTCCAAAGCTGATATTCTCGCATTTAGTTCCCGGTTCGTTGCCTTAACATTGTCCATTTGTATGTTAGAGTTATGTAGCTTTTCTTCTAGCTGTAAGATTCTTCTTTTTAAGTCCTGGTTTTCTTTTTCCATCTGCATTTTAAAAGGTCTGCTTCCCGCTTGGTCCTCTGCTTCGTTCTTGTCTTCCATTCTCAATACGAGGCTGTCCAGAAGATTTTCAATGTGATCAAGTCTTTCCTCGCATGATTTTGCCGACGATGATTTAACCAAAAACACAAGGAATAATATTCTAAAAATCATTCCGAATCTCTGATTAGTTATCAAAAGTGAAGACAGCGTTCTATTTCCTCTGAAAACTGATAAGTATTGTGTAACATACTAGTAACTTTAGTATTCTTGATAATGCAATGCACTTGTTACTAGTATACAGTATGAGTGCGAAATCCTTGATGAATTTTCATCCTTTGTTTTAAAAAGTAGCATTCAAGAACATAAATAACCTACAACCATTCCTCAAATATTAAAAGATTATTTTTTAACGTCATGACTTTATGCAGAGAATTTATTTACTTTTACCTAATGCCACTCAATGGAAAAGGATGGTACTGATGAACGATTTTCTACGAAAAATGTATGAAAGTGACAATACTGTATTTTTTCAAAACCATTTAATTTCTCCTAAGTTTATAAGTGAGAGAAATACTAGTATTCTAAATTTGGTGGTTGTGCGTCATGTATAAAGGTAAGATAAATAGGAAACCGTTCTCTTCCTTTAAGGGACAGAAATCGTTTTAAAAATTCGTTACATATATTTTTACGAAATACAATTTAAAATCTTAACTCTGAATTTCCTTACGATCTTTGTTGAGTCAGATAGAATAAGAACACATCTTCATACTTTGACTAGGGAGCATTAAAAACTGCGGCCATATAAAGAAGATGCCAAATGATCCATGATGCTCACCTGAGTCACCCTGGCCCTGCTGTTCTACGTAAGATTATCCCTGGCTATACGTTGATTGCCTATTGCAGGCTCTACTTACCACACTGGGTCAATTCTTAAATATCTAAGAATATACTCAGTACTCTACCTCAGAAAGCTTCCACTTAAGTTTCAGATTTCCTGACCCACTTTTTCTTCAGAAGAAGATGTTATGGTTTTCCCTATATGTTTCAATGTAAACCTCTAATTTCCTATTGTGGCTCCATCCTATCTTGGGGCCATGATTTGAACATTTTTATTAGAATCTTCGAATTCACTATCTCCAAAAAGCTTTCACATAAGTTTTTTCCTTTTCTAATCTTTGAGGTTCTCGAGAAGAAGATTTTTAATGACTGTGAGAAGAAGATTTTTAATGACTGTCATATTTATATCTTTTTTATATGGTCACTTTAGTAAGTTTTTTTTGTCATGTGGTATTAGTAAAATTCTCTTGTTCTTTCGCCAATATTTAGCTCTTTTCAGCTGAATTTGACAAAGAAACCTGAACCAAATTGTCTTTCAACAAGACTGTTGTCTTTGTAGACATCTTAACGTTTTGGTCAAACAATAAGATTTTGTCTTTCTTTCTTTTCATATATTTCATGGTTATTTTCATTCCCTGTTATTCTTACATTAAAATGTCAGCTTGTGGACCGTACTTCCTAGACTCAAACCTTCATTTTGCCCGTTTGAATGTCAGAGTAAAACAGCATTATTTAGATTGTTTAACTCTTCATTCCAAACTTTGTCGCCGAAATATAGCTGCAAATTGCTGACTCGGCGTTAAACAATAATCAGTCAATCCAAGCTTTGCTTTTCTTTTCGATTTGTTTTTCAAAAGGTTTCTGTCTACTGTTTTTACTTTTTCCTTTGCTCCGATTTTGTCTTCAGTTCTCAAAATGATATATCTAAAATATTTTCTATGTTATCAAGTCTTTCCTTCACGATTTTGCAAACAATATTTGAACAAGAAAAAAAAAACACACTCTAAAAATCAATCCAAATCTGTCTAAATCTGATGGTAATTTATGTCTGTGTAGTACTTTTACTTTGTGAATTTTACATCAGTTGAATGCTCTATTCTCTTTCTTATGAAAAGCCATTATTGTTATCATCCGTGTTAATAACCTGCCAAGTAAAACTACGTCAATCTCGAAAACGATGATAACTCTTTTTTAATACCATGGAGCCATTAAAGAACTGAAATTAACACTATTACCATCGAAATTGGTGGTTTTATAATATGACAGATACATTATTTATATCATCATTGGCGATAAGGATTACCATATCACCATATCTAATGTCTTGTCACTTTAGAAATATATACGTGTGTGTGCAGAAATTAAAACAATTATCGCGCGAAAACAATTAAAGAAATTGTTGCTTTAGATAAATGTAAGGAATATGGAATATTTTGAAGTTTTATTTCTGCGCATGTAGTAAAAGTATAAAAAAAAAAAAAAAAAATTGCGTTTTCCCCATCATACGATATTACTTAAAAATTCCAAGGAACTTTTGGACAATTTGTAATCACAAGATTGAATACGAGGCTGTCCAGAAGATTTTCCATGTGACAAAGTCTTTCCTTGCATGATTTTGCCGACGATGTTTTAACCAGTAACACTAGAAATAATATTCTAAAAACCATACCGAATCTAAGTCAGTAATCAAAAGTTAGCGTTCTATTTCTGATGAAAATGATAAGCATTGTGTAACATAATGGTAGTATTCCTGATAGTGCTGTGATTCATTTATAAAAATGTGATAAAGAGGAAATCGTTTGGTGTCTTTTAGTTCCAGAAATCAAGTAGATCAATTTTTTTTCTCGTTCTATATATTTTAACAAAATACCAATTAAATATCGCTGACTCTGAACTCCACTAGGAAATGTATCCAGGTTTCAAAAACTGCTATATATAAACAAGAGACATTCGGCCCACGACGCTTACCTGTGTCATCTTGGACCTTCTGTTCTATATCAGATACCCCTTGTTTTACATTGATTCCTTATTGCAGCCCCATCCTACCACACGGGCTCATTTTTGAATACATGGTATTTTAGAATCTGAGTTCCTCAGAAAGCTTTTACATAGGTTTCAGATTTTTTGGACCAGTGTTTCTCCAGAAGAAGATTATAAGGTTTTTTCCTATATGTTGCACTGTAAAACTTAAATTCCATATTATGGCCCCTCCCAATCTCCAGAGGCCATGATTTGAATATTTTTATCAGAAACCTCAGAAGGTTTTCACATAAGTTTGATCTTTTCTATTCTACAGGTTCTCGAGAAGAATATTTTAATGACTCCCTCGTATTTATGTTATTTTATAAGGTAAATGTAGTAATTTTTCGTTATATGGTATAGTAAAATTCTCTTGTCCTTTCGCCAATATCAAGCTCTTTTCAGTTGAACTTGACAAAGAAACATGAACCAAATCGTCTTTCAACAAGACTCTTTTCCTTGTAGACTTCTTCATGTTTTAGCCAAACATTTAGAATTTATCTTTCTTTATTCTCTTATATTTCATGGTTAATTTCATTCACTGTTATATTCTTGTGTTAAAATGGCAGTTTGTAGACTCTACTTCCGAGACAAACCTTCATTTCGCTCATTTGAATGTCAGAGTAAGTGTATTTATGTATATAAAGGAATTTATGTGATCTAAATACGTAATAAATTGCATATTTTTATTAATTACCAATTTGTTTGAATTCATGGGTCCCGAAGGGTTTTTCCGGGTTTTACACTTAAGCGTCCTCTAGTAACGGCTATTAGCCATATCCTTATCAGAATAACATTTTGGCTCCAAAATGTGGTTTACAAATTTTGCTTCAGTTTCACATGAACCGAATTGTTCATCAGTTTCAGTATTTAAGAGCACATAATAGCATTTATTTAAATTGTGAAACTCTTCATTCCAAGCTTTGTCGCCGAAATATGGCTGAAATATTATTGCCGACTTGGCGTTAAACACTATTAATTAATTAATGCAAGTTTTGCCTTTCTTTTCTAGCTTTATTTTAAAAGGTTTCAATCTTCTGTCTTTATCTTGTCCTTTGCATTGTTCTTGTCTTCAATTCTCAAAATGATATCTCCAAAATATTTTCTATGTTAATCAAGACTCTCTTTGCATGATTTTGCAAACAATATGCGAGCAAGAAAACCTAAAAAAAAAAACAAAAAAAAAACAAAAAAAAAAAAAAAAAAAAAAAAAAAAAACAAAAACAAAAAAAAAAACAAACACTTAAAGCTGCCTAAATCTAATTGTAATGTTTATCTGTGCAATTGTTCTTTTACTTTGTGAATTTTACGTCAATTTTTTTTATATTCTCTTTTTAAAAAGCCATAATAGTTATCATCCGTGTTATTAACCTGTCAACCAAAACTACGTCAGTTTCGAAGACGAATGACAATTTTTTTTAATACCATGGATCCATTAAAGCACTAAAATTAACACTATTACCATCGAAAATGGTGGTTTTATAATATGACATTAATAATAATGTTAATTATATTATCATCGGAGATAAGGATTACCATATCACCATATCAAATGGCTTGTCACTATAGCAAAATATGCGTGCAGAAATTAAAACAATTATCGCACGAAAACAATTAAAGAAATTATTGTTTTAGATAAATGTATGGAATATGAAATATTCTATACATATAACTCTTTTTCAAGTTTTATTTCTGCGCATCTAGTAAAATTATATATAATTGCGTTTTCTCCATCATACAAAATTACTTAAAATTTCCAAGGAACTTTTGGAAAATTTGAAATCACAAGATTTTACCATAACTTTTTTTCAACTTCATACACAGCCATTCCCCACGATATATCTAAGTCCAAGCTTTTGATATCATTGACAGCTGCTTTTTCCATAAAAATGGAACTCATTTACTTAAAAAAATGTCATTTGTCAAAGTACTTTGAAGTTGACAGCAAAATGATGCTCGAGTTTCTGATTGACAGTATCTATGTGGTTTTTGGAGCAGTCATTCTAGAAAGGTGACTGGTATAAAAAGTAAAATTCACAGAGATCTATAATTTTCTAATGAAGAAACGTTACCTGTCTATTTCACTGAAAGATTATAAATATTACCAATGACCAGAGGATGTCATTTATTTATTTTATATTTAACCAAGTTATTTTTGGCAGGTTCTTGATCAGAAAATTTGAATGGACACTGAAGCCCAGGGCTGGGGTATTATTTTATGAGCTCGCTCAATCTTTTAAGCAGAATTTATTTAAATTTTTCAATACGAAAAGAGGTCTCTTGATGTGACCTTTAATGTAAACATTAAAACTATATTGACGACCTTTCATTTGTTGACAGTTTTTATTCCTACGTTGATTCGATATATCTCTCAAAACTCGAAATAAGATATCATATTTTTATACATGTTTTATAATCGATGTTTAAATTTGAAAAATACTTTTCTTGTGCTACTTGTATATACATTATCACCTGTACGTGGAGCTCGTCTCCTGTAAGAGCACGATGTATGTTCGAACAATTTATAGTGCGGGGTAAGCTTTTGACAAATAAGTTGATGATACAAAAATATAAAGTCAACATTCTGCAAATTCTATTGTCGATACAAAGACCTTGTCAGCAAGTACAATCTTTTGACTGATTTTTTACACATGTATAAAGCTTTAAGCAATTACTTGACACTTAAAAATTTTCTACGGATTTTTATGTTTGCCTAATCATGCAGAAAAGGGACAGCAGGAGAGTGTGATCACATCAGTCTACAGGGGATGGCTACTCCTCCATGGTATCTAATTCTATCCCTGATGTTTTTAGATGTTCGTGGTTGCTTTGCACCCATGTGTATTGTTGCAATTACAGAAAGTTGAACTTGACTACTGTTCGTTATCCTCAAACTTCATTACTGGACTAGGATTTGGCAATCCTCGGATGATTACATTGCCTTCATCAAAGGAAGTTAGATGAAGTATGACTCAACCGATGTGTGCCGAATGATTGGACAAGATTATTATTGGACTGTTAAAGGTAAAATTTTGTGACTGCAAACACAGAAGCATGAAGTTGCATCAACGTTTTTGAAAGAATAGGTTAATATGTTACTGTAGAGCGACAAAGTGACCAGTTGGTGTTTCTTTAAGGTTCGGAACAGGGTTATTTTTAGGTAATGTACCGATTTATGTTATTAAGGGGCGTGCTCCAATAGAGTGACACTTAACAGATATTTTCAACATCAAAGCTCTAAATCAAATCCTTACCTGCTTACATTCTGAGAAATTAAAAGTGACAAATTTTGATGTATATGTAATGAAATATTATTTTCCAGTTAGTGAGCGTAAACTATTTAAATAGGCAGATAAACTGAAATGCCTGCATCGGACACCGTATATATTTAAAAATAATTAACGTTTCCTTAACTATCAATCAGAAAAAAAAGACATTTTAGTTGATATTTTATACCTTTGTGGTTTAATGTTAAATCGTTTTGTGACTTGTCATATGTTTGAAGAATTAATTTAGATAATACAGTGTAGTACATTGAATAAATTATCGAGAACTTTCAATTGTTTTATTTTTTATTGTTCTGAAAGTGATGACATCTAAGGTCACACTTGATAATAAATATACACAGTCGCATATATTGTCATTTTTATCCCATTATTCCGCCCGTTATTTGCAAGCAAGATTAGCTGTATTTCTTGATGGGGTTATTTTAAATTTGAGTTTAAAAAATATCATAGATTATGTTAAATCCTGCAGAAAAAATTCAAAGAACTACATGTACATTAATTCGTACAGGTATCAAAACTGTTAGTTTGCGTGTAAGGAAAAAAAAGGGTATCAAAATCAATCTATATATATATATAGTGAAAAATGACAGAAATCAGAATATTATGCAATTCTTCATAAAACTGATTATTCGCTCATTTTATCCCGTGTATGAGAAAAAAAAGGACAAATATTCCAATTTTAAAGATTTTTCTTTTAATAGGGATGAAATTCATTATAAAAATGAAGTAATGAACTTACATGATTAAAAATCAACTACAAATAAATGTGATTTAAATCAGAGGGCAAGTAGATAATACAATGGTTTAACATGATTTTGCTCATAGTATATACGTAAACTGTATGTCAATTGAGTGCAAATCATCTCAAGTTTTACTTAAACGCTTTCTTAAAGAATGATAATTAAATGCAATGAATTGAAAAATGCTTTCAGTGTCAATTAATCCAACTTATCCTCATAAATCTTAAAACTTTCCATATTCAGTCATGAAGCAACTGGTATTTACAAGACCATATAAAAAAGCTCAGGTAATTTTCCTTAAGGTTCAAAATGCAAGTCCTTATGTTTGGCACATTTTTGCAGTTGAAAGCTGTATTTTATAATCACAGCACTCTATATAAAAATGTTGCATATATTTACAAATCAAAAGCAAGTCCATGTAATAAAATTATAATTTCTTGATATATGCTCTTTCTTTATGTAGTAGCATATATAACTGAATAATACTTAGGCAGGATATTTTCTTTTGGGGTAAAAAAAAATGTTTAAGTGTAAAATCTAATTAGTAATATTAGGAAAACAAACAAGTTATCAATAAATTATTATTAAAAAATATTTCATTTTAATGATATTTAACCTGAAACCAAAATCAATTTGGCATAACAGTGTAGATGATTAAAACTTTGAGACATAAAAAAATTCCCAAATAATAACAAGATTTACAACAACACACCTTATAAATACATTCCATGTAAAATGCCACATTGAAAAATATATGTTGCAGTCAACATGAATATTAAATTAAGTGTCTCTACTAGCTGTTTCATAATCCTGATCTTCAGCAGGAAGTAAAAAAAAAACCTTTGAGGCACCCATTTAAACTAGGGCTTATTATTTTTTTTTTTTTTGCGTAGATTGCATTTCAATGTACAACTCTTTAAAGAAGAAAGTATCTTCACATGTGTAACACATCTTGCCAAACTGCTTTGGCTAGGTCATACAAAATTTTTTGACATTATTTGCATGGAGATGACACAAAAAGGCAGTAAATTAATTGAGAGAAGATACAACTTTGACAAAACAGATTTGTCTAGCATGTTTTTTTTTTTGTTTTTCTTATTTGCATATAAAGGCGATTTTCAAAAATTTGCATATCAAGACCTCTCTCTCTTTTACACCTGGATAGCAAAAACACTTTTGTAATAAAATGGCAATTTAGCTACATCCCAAAATAATCTAGAAATATGCTTATCTCTCATAATCATCTTGAAATTAATATGTTACCTTTGTTTAACTTTAAAAGAAGATTCTAGAAAAAGAATAAAGATACTTTGTACATCTACATTTTCTGGTCAAAGTACATGTATATATTTGCAAATGTTTCAGCACTGCTTTTCATATAGTCACTGTTCTTAATTTATCAAGCCAACAATATTCAATTAAGCAACACTATTTAAATAATTCTGTACAAAAGGAACCACACAAAACATTCTACACAATATGATTTAAGTCAAAAAGTGACAACAATTTGAGTTAACATGATTTGTCTTCTAATTAGGAAATTTATACCTCCAGGGGACAGTAAATCCCAATATTTTTTTTTTAATAATAAAATGTCACTCTTCTTATTATAATATAAATGATATATATTTATATTTCCTCTTTTATAGTAATAAATGAGAAAAACATTTGGAGACACACACCTGGAAAACAAAGTACCTGTAAATATGATTATCTCAAATATCTCAAGTTTAGAAAACAGAATATCTCAAATATCTCGTGTTTAGACTACCGAGCCTCTCCCCCAGATCAATGTGAGCAAACATTTATCTACAGTGTACATATATTAAACAAGTTCACCAACAGATATTTCAAAATGTCCTGAATGACTCGCAGTAAAAAATAGTTTATCTACTGGGTATCATTTCTGTAAAGACCTCATATTCTTGATGCAAGATTCCACTTTTGACAATGGTAACATCTTGGTATGGTCTGGAATTCTGGTCCACTGGTAGCTCATTGATTTTTCGCACAGTGTCCATTCCATCAAGAACTTTTCCGAACACGACATGTAGACCATCTAAGTGAGTAGCATTTGCATGGTTGGCCATCTGGATGAAGAACTGGGATTTATTGGTGTTTGGACCTGTATGAAAAAATATGAGAGTATTAAATATCATTATATCATGTGCTTTTACACAATTGCTCTTTAAAACAAAGAAAATTCTTTTGTGGCATCAAGACAGTGTCTTTGTCAAGCATGGATCATTTAACAATTTTGTTCACTCATATAAAATGTTGCTTTAACACAAATATGCTTGTCCAAAAGAAATGCATTTTAAAAAGTAAAATTCAAATACTTTCTGTGCAGCAAATGGAAGAACAAAATTAGTCAAAAAGACAGTTTAATATGACAAATTTATGAAGGAATATTTATCAAGAAATTTGATGACATTTATCCCATTAAGAGTTATCTCCCTTATGAGAGTATCAACCAACCTTAAGAAAACTTCAAAATATGAAAAGACCTCTGTCATTGATTTAATTAATGTTTATAGTAATATACAAAGAGGCTCTAAAGAATTAAAGCACATTAATTGTAATCAAAAAATTTCACAGAATTAAGATCCAATTTGGTTTATTTTTTCCTTATGCCATACAACACATCAGACACTGCTACCATCAAGACAAATGAGATTTAGCTAGATGACAAATTTCCCTCCCAATGTACAATATTGAATTACAATTCACTTATTTCCTGTGCTGTCAAATGGTAGACAAATATTAGTCATGATGATCCATTTGACAAGTGAGGAGAAATAATGTAGAACATGAGAGCTAGCTAGAATGCATGTCTTACCTGCATTAGCCATGCTAACAAAGCCAGGACCATAGTGTTTTATGTCAAAGTTCTCATCCAAAAAGCTGTCTCCAACGTAAATACTTTTTCCTCCTGTTCCATCACCATTTTCAAAATCTCCTCCTACAATTTATATAAAATGATACGTTATTTATCTATATTAATGCTGGGGGATTATATTTCAAATCATCAAATCATTTTTCATTTCAACTAGCTACTAACTGGCACTTTTTTTGCAAAACTACTTTAACTTCCTTGTAAAAATTTTCCTGTATTAATTCTTTATTTGGCAATTAACATTTTGAAAAATAGCATACATTACTTGTACATAGAGGCCCTTAAAGTGTTTCTACCTTGAATGATAAAGTCTTTGACGACCCTATGGAATTTGCTGCCTTCATAACCAAATCCATATTCTCCCGTGGCTAATGCGGCAAAATTTTTGGTCGTGACTGGAACAGTGTCTCCAAACAGACCGATGACAATCCGACTCGTGTTCTGGACAGGGGGAGTCCTAACCTGAGGCTGCTGGGGGTTCCAGGGCTGACTGTTCATTGGACCAATAGCAATGTCAAAGTAGACCATCTGAGTTATGGTATCAAAACATCGAATCTTTCCCTGAAATAATTGTATAACAGTTGAGAGATTGACTCTTAGAGTAAAAATAATAAATCTCCAGATATTTTTCAAAGAAAATGTATGCTTATAACATGTACTGAAAGCCAATGTGGCCCAAAACATGAAGGATTTTTTTATTTAAAACAAGAGGCCCATGGACCACAATGCTCATCTACCCTCTGATGTTGTCCTTCACTACTTCAGCATTTTTTTTTTCAAATTTGCTTCAATTCAGACATTGTCATTTATATTGTTTTGCATATGATTTAGTATTTTGAAGCAAATTGTTTAATAGGGGGGGGGACTATTCCCTACTGTAGCTAATAGACGGGGGGGGGGAAAGCCCTGTTCTAAACAAAAAAAAGGTAAACTCCAATTTTCACACCTATATAAGTGTATATATTTGCAAAAAAAAGGGGGGGGGAAAAATTTTATAAAGATTTTTCTTTTATTTTGTCAAGTAGAAGTGCTTTTTTGGCATTATATTAATCTAAACAATGTATGCAGAAACAATTTTTGAGCAGAAATTTGTCCCAGTTTACCTAAAGTATAGCAATCAAGCCACAATTACAAAAAGCATAGAAGAGCAATAATTAGTTCTTCTGCTTAGTGGCCTGAATGGAGAATTTCTGCAATCCAGGAGCTTTCACAAAGGTTCCTAGAACCTTTGGTATAAACTATAAAGATTAACTCCCCCTTTCAGATAATACATTTGGATTACAGAAAAACTAGACAATACAACAGCCATCTCAGAATTGGGATACAAAGATGCTTCCTCCAGGCAAAGGAGAGTAACCAAAGAGGAAGCTAGAGGACAGAAACCTCTTACACCTTAATCAATAACTAACATCAGAACATGGAATTAGCGTAAATCATAGCACACACCATTGCCAGTGAAATGCAGAATTCCAAAATCGACAAACCTGGCATCACAGAAGCAAAAATGAAAAGATGGTAGAGAAACAAGACTGAGGTCTGGAGAGTTAATTATATATTTCCAACTATACATAGGAACATTGCACCACATTTAGAAGGGGTAGGCAATACTGATGTCAAAGATGACCCAGAGGTAACTTCTATCATTATATCTATAGGAGCCAAGAGATGACAGAATTATCACTGCTTGATTTAAAGCATACATCTTAACATCCGTTAGTGATATGTCCCTATATTTTAGCAAAAGAGACAAAAAAGGACTTGAATATGAAATGCTAGATAGTACTCAGAAAATGCAGTCCCAACCCATGGAAGAAACTTCCCTGATGGGAGATTTCAATGCCAAAGTAAGAGACAATATCACGTACCAGCTTATGAAGAAATTAATGAAAGCCTAATGGTAATACAAATGATATGGGGAAATGTTTGCAAACTTGTGCATCAACAGCCAAGCTGTTGGTGGAACCATTTCTTCCACCAAAAAATCAAATACATGTATATACCACCTGCAAAAAATTTTCTAGATATACTTAACTATGAACATCCTTCAGTGGCCTTCACAATCAGAAATCAAGAAGGCAATATCATTTTTCAAAAATAAAAGGCTCCAGGACTAAACATTCTTGCAGAAGAGACAAAATTAGTGTGATCCATATGATGTATGACCGCTCAGAAAAGATATGGAAGAAAGAGGAAGTACCAACAGACTGAGAAAAAAGGCTACCTTGCAAAACTGCCAAAAATATGAAATATAAGAGGTATAGATTGTGCTTCTATCTGTTCTAGGAACTTTAGTCATAGTACATGGACTAAGAGCAGCAGTGGATGTCAACCTAGCTAAGTGACAACCAAGCAGGGTTTAGAAAAAACAGATCATATGGTGACCATATCACAACACTGCATATCATATTAGAACAATTAGAAGAATTAGAGTCGCAACTCTTGTAGTCTTCATTGATTTTGAGAAAGTATTTGATAGCCTGGATAAAGAAATATTGTGCCATTTCATGAAACAATTTATGGCATTCTAGACAAATTTACTATCATCATCAGAAATACTAGATTTACAGGAATGCCAAGTCACATCACACATGAAGGATAACTAACTGAACCCATTGACATCTCCAAAGGGGTATGGCAAGGATGCCTACTTTCTTCTTTGCTGTTTCTATTAGCAGTTCATAGGAGTGACCTTTATTTTATAATAAAACCTTGGGCTTTTTAGATATTAGCCTTTCACAGCATTCAGAAACCTGGCTTAGGACCAACACAAAGAAGACCAAAGTACTTCATTTATGAGAATAAGAACTTGTAATTATAATTAAACAAAAAGGTGTCCTTGCCAATAATATTCCAACTCTCCTTTCATTAACCATAACAAATGTTGAAGTATAACATGCTTCATCCTCAAGATATTTGAATGATTTAAGTTCTTGTTATTTAAAATAACTTTTATGGACAGACAGACAAATAGGAAATGTGCTATAAAGTCAATTTCTGAAAAACCAAAGTTTCAACAACAACAAAAAATAAAGTTAATACAAAAAAATTCTACATCTTTTTTTTTTTATATTTTCCACATACAAATCATCATTTGCCTTTTAATAGCCTCTCAAGCTTCCCAAATATAATATACATGTATTATCACTTTTCTGATGCATGTATTGGACTTAATCTTAATAATAATACAAGTACACATTTTAATTGGATCCAGATTTGAATAAACACTTAATAAAACAGAATATGATCATACAAATGAACAAATGAGGTGATGGAAAAATAAGAAAACATGTAGGTTTCATATAGGTAATGTATATACATATGTATGTGACATGATCCACCTAATACTCTTGTCAACTTGCATGACAGTGGTGGTTTTTGTAATTCTCACGAAAAGCGTGGTTGTATAATCAAGCATTGTATTTTTAATCATGCAAACCTCTAGTATTTATTAAGGAAGAATATAGCGGTAAGCCAGTCCCTTGTATATAGACAAAATTACCTTTTAACAGAGTCTAATGAAATTACTTTGAAATGCATATTTTAATATATCAGTATTAACAAAACTATATGTTAAAAATATGACATCTTGATATTCATACTTTCTTATAAATAGTTAGGATTTCATTTCATTAGGACTATTTTATGATCTTTATTATGGTAATGCAACTGACATTTTGGCAAGTAATCATTTTTAAGTAAAAGTCTCATTTATTTCAAATAATAACCTGATAAACATAATCATGAAATGTCACACCTGATTGTTCATCAAATTAAATCATAATCTTCCATCATATTCTTGTTTTATACTTCATCCACACCCATTAAAAATTTATTTATATGTAGTACTACATGTCACAATAAAACAATATTGAAGACGCGTGAATTTAATATTTAATAATTTAGCCTTTCATTTAACTTGTGATTTTTGTGGTTAAAGTTAATATTAAGACAATTAATTATTATCGTGGCAAAGCCCTTTTCCCTTTGATATATTTTTAGATGCTTGCAAAAATAGGTACAGTTTGTATAAATGAAAAAAAGAAAGCAGAAAAATAAAATTTTCACATATAAATTCTGTAACAGTAGCAGTTCTTAACATTTTTCATAAAAAAGCATTCAAATTCAGTTGTATATCAAAATGAGTAGAATAATACAATTTCAAAGAAAAGTTCCATATGCAGAATCATATGTTAATGGTGCACATGAATTAATAGTGGAGTTGGATTGATGAGAAAAGTGTCAAAAATATGATTCTCTAAATCTTAATTTTGAATTTTGATTGCAATAAAATTATTATCAATTCATTGAAATCATTTATTTTTTTTTTTTTTACAGATGCCTTTCAAAATGTGTTTTAACTTTTTAAATCATGATTATTAATTTAATACATTTTCTTTAAAGGAGAGCACAATCATTTTGAATTGAAACAAAATTTCATTTTTTTTTTCTGTATCTTTAAAGTCCTTTTCTTATTAATATTGTCACGATACTGTATTTTTAATTTGCGAGATACATACATCTATTAATTTATCATTGTTAAAACCCCATCTTCTACAGACATTATTAATGATAAGACATACTGCTTCTAATTAGCTTCTTAACAAATGCCTTCATTGTAACATTTTGAATGTTAGACAATGTTCGTGACTTTAAGCAATTAACCCTAAAGGTAGTCATATGACAAGTTATATAAAATTATTAATGTAACATCTAAATAAGAGAGTTCGATAAGAATAGGAAATATATTCAAACTTGGTCGTAAATTCACTTTTTTTCTGTCAGATGTGACAAAAAAGTAAAAAGACAGTACATGGGTCTTAATTAATAAAACAGATGGTTTCGAAAAATTATGTTTTAAGAAGCCAAGAATGACAAAAAGTATTTTACCTGCAAAATATTAAAGCAAAAATTAATTTTCAATACCTGAGCAACGTCGATGAAATTAAAAATCGCAGCAGCAATCAAAAAATACCGCATTTTAACTCTTTTTCGTCTGCACTCCCTCTCGAATGAAATCCAAACCATAAACTGGTCTCGAGAATCTCTTACGACGTTACGTCTCTGCTTAATTAATAATTCATGATGTCTCTTCTGACGCTCTATGTTAAAACGATGATGTTATAAAAGGAAACTTTTATTACACATAATGCACCGCTTTTAATTCTTTAAGAAATCGTAACTATTTTTACGACATACAAACATTCTCATTTTTGGTCGTAAGAAACGTGGCATTTTGACAGACAGACAGTGAAAAAGGAATCATGAAGTTTTTGGTAGCACTCGTCTTGTTGAATCTGCATTATGTTCTGGTAAACTATTTTATACTTCTTTAATTAGTGACTGTTTAATTCAACACCACATATTTGATATCTATCGCTTCCAAGTTCCAATCTGCATGTTGGATTTTTTTTACTGTCAAAATTAATGTAGTCTTGTAGGCCCGGATCCATATTTTTTTGCATGATATTTTCAAGAGTAATGATCCAGTGCAGTACAAGTACTTAAAGAAGAAAATGAATAAAATAAAGAAATTTTAAAAAATAGAGCACAAGACCCTCAAAGACTCCACATGCATTTGAATTCTATGTTCAAGAAATAATTGAATTAATGCAGTATGAAAAGTCATATAAATCATACACTGGAATAAGGAAGTCTTAAAGGTTGAACTTAATGGATGTGATGGAATAGTGTTTATTTCTTCCCTTTGTAGGGAGGAGATTTAACTGTTACCAAGAAGGTCTACTTTGACATTAAGATTGGGACGAAAGATGCAGGCCGCATTGTTATTGGCCTCTTTGGGCAAGCAGCCCCAAAGACCGTAGAAAACTTCCGACAACTTGCTGTTGGTAATGTGAATGGTGAAGCAGGTTTTGGTTATCAAGGGAGCTCATTCCACAGGGTTATCAATAATTTCATGATACAAGGTAAAGTGCCATATTAGTGTATGACATACATGGTTTGTGACTTACCAAGAGCCATACAAAACTTAAGATACTATGTTCTACTTTAAAATTAGGGCTTTTAATGTGTAGCTAAGACAGCTGGACACAACCAATTTTTTTATGTTATGTAGATTGACATTCCATATTCTTTGGTTCTTTTGATATTTGCTTGTGTGTATACAAAAATCAAGGAATCATTTCATTATATTACAAACCCTATACATGTATTAGTGTTTATCTATTCTCCTACACACTTGCATTTCCATGTGTCAAAATATTTAGAACAGATTTTGTTTGGGAATTTAAGTCCTCAAGATGGAATGCATTGTACTGGATGCCTGCATTGTTTTATTTTGTACATACTTAACATATCTGCTTGTCAAATAATTCATGTGAAGTACTGGTAAGTTGTGGTAAAAGAAAATTCAGTGAAGTCTTTATTTCATTTGAGTGAGTAAGTGGCAGGCTCCTAATAGATTTTATTGCCGTAGATGTATTCTTTGCTACTGAAATATGAATGCATATATTTTGGACAGTTAAATCCATTCCTTAAAATGTAAAATGATGAAATTAATTATCGTTCATACTATTTAAAAGAATAAATTCATGTAGATTAGAATATTTTTTTCAGTACTTGGTACAGTCTATCATATATGTGTGTGATAGCTAATAGAATCACTTGAAAGAATATCTGAATATTCCTCGTACATTTTTCAGCCACAGTGCGATTTTTAGTGAACAGAACAGTATTTAAGGCTTTATTTCCTGTAAATCTAAGGAAGAGCTTTTAAGTAACTTGCAACGTAGTGAACTTTATTGTTTGTAGGTCATGTCATATTGTACCATGATGTAGCTTTCAGTTCATCAACTTATTTCTTAGCTAAAATGCCAAAAGGAAGAAAAAAACCCAGAGTTTGAATTCTTTTAATTTTTCATTATCAAGAGTTTACACTTAATTATGTTAATTTTTGTTGTCAAAATTTGAAACCATAAGAATTATTATAATAAATGTCCAAAACAGTGATGTAAATATGACTCAATTAAATAAAGGCATTATTGTTATTCTACAAAAACCAAATTCCTTACAAATCAGTGTATTGTTAATTTAATTAGATATTAAACGCATGCATACGCATTAATTTGCATACAAATTTTCTTATTAAAACAAGAAATTGTTTAGAAATATCATAGATCAACTAATTTAGTCATATTTATATGGAAGCATCCCCAGGTAGTGTTGATTCAAGTTTATTTGTTCAAATGATGACCCAAGGGGGTAGGGTGGGATCACAATTAATGGACAATGAAAACTGTATATACTGATTATAGGTAGTGTAGATTGTAGAAGTTTGTTCAAATCATGACCCCAAAGGTTAGGGTGGGACCACAATGGGCAATCAATTTATTACATATAAGATATATTACATAGGAATAAACAGGAGAAATCTTTAAAAATAGCAAAACCATGATCAATAATATTTATGTGCCATTATGGAAGCATCCTCCTAAATATAAATTCAAGTACTTTCAAATTATGACACCCAGGGGTAGGGTAGGGCTACAATGGGTGACTCAATGGGTATTTTAGTGGGGTATTCATAAATTAGCATTACCCACTATACATTTTGAGTATATAAATGATTTCTTATGAATATTCATGAATCAGCGCATCATTGTCCGTACCAAAGCCGCTACAATATAATCCTGCTTTTTTAAGTACACATACAGTATACAATGTACGTGTAGCTATGAAGGACAAAAAAAGAATCTGCTGATGAAGAACAAATCAGGTTAATGTGGCACATGGGCCCCCTGTCTTTTGTGCATTACTTAAATTACCACAAGACCTTTCAGATTTTATTATGATGACCTTATGACCTTGGGAACAACTAGTTGTAGATATAAACAGGAACCAATAGTATTTTCATTATTTTGTCACAGGTGGAGATTTCACCACTGGCGATGGAAGAGGAGGGAAGAGCATATATGGAGAATATTTTCCCGATGAGAAGCCATTTAAGCTGTCCCATTATGGAGCTGGCTGGCTGAGCATGGCCAATGCTGGTATGAAAATCAATTCTGGAAAAAGGAAAACTTTGTAGGACAGAGACAACTGTTAAACAAAAAACCTTACTAAAGTTAGGTGTAAATTACAGTACCTTGTTTTGAACTTGGCCTCTTATTTTGTAGGACCAGATACCAATGGCTCCCAGTTCTTCATTACATGCATCAAGACACCATGGTTAGATGGCAAACACATCGTCTTTGGCAAGGTTCTGGAGGGAATGAACGTAGTGCGGGTCATTGAGGCAGTCCAGACTGACTCCATGGATCGCCCTATAGAAGACGTGACAATTGTCAAGAGTGGGGAATTACCAGTGGCCACACCCTTTGACGTCACTACAGATGATGCAACTGCATAAAGCTGCTTTTTTACAAGTTTTAAATATGTGTTCTGTGTTCAGCTTTTTCGTTTAATTTTGTCAAAATTTATATTAATAGAGATTTTTAAGGATTTTTAACAATTTTCAAGTCAAATTTTTTTGTGTAGCAATAGAAAGTTATATTTTTTTTATTCAAATATATAATCAGTATATTCTTGCCATTATGAGTAACTGATTCTCAGGTGCAGGCAAGTTCTTCACCGTCCATTTCTTGTGAATGACAAATATGTTCATTCTTGAAATGTGCCTTAATTCATAAGGCCAGTGTGCCAGTTTTATGACATCGAATTATGTAAAGGTTTACACTTAATTTGTATTCTAAGTGCCAAATCTATTTATACATACATGTATATTTCAAATCAAAGATTTTTTTGCTGATTTTCTAGTAATTGTTGTGTTGAACCAAATACTGAATCTCAGACATTAAATTTATAAAGTTCAGTTTATGCTGTGTTTGTTTATGCAGTATCGGTGAAACGTTCATGACATATAACTTGATGACCTTTCATGTCCTGCAGTGCACCAAAAAGTTAATTCTTGTACATGTAAACGATTTAAAGTTTTTTTCACTCATGGATATTTTTCTCATGGAATTATGCTCCATTTTGAGTTCAAAAAGTGTGTTTGTCTTTACCCTAAGGAGTTCATTTATGAACAACATTTTCAGGTTATGGAGCAATAATTAGTTCTGAAAAAATGACAACCTGCCAAATTTTGTCTCTGCAAACCTTAATGTCAAAAGCAACATGACCTTTTAATGTTTATCCATCACAAATATTTTTAACACAGACAGGAATTAGATTTTCTCCCAGATGTCTGCTAACAGTAATACCTAGCATTGGGCTAAATTAAAAACAATTGCATTGACATGAAGGAAAGTATCCATATCCATGATAAGACCAAGAATTAAAATTTCTTTCCTATTTTTGGCCTTATAAAGATATGACCTTAAAAAAGAAAAATTCCAATAATTTGAAGTTTCCATTCATTTTCTTGGCAGAGGTTGCACATTCTGAAGTGAAATTCGGTATACAGATTTATATGGATGTCAAGGTTTGTTTTGGGTACGATTGAACAATTTTTTATTGAGTTATACCCCTTGGACTTAGAAAATCATGAAGAGTACTGTTATTTTTTGGAACGAAATATATAGTAAGAGATAATAGTATTCAAACTCAGAAGTTCGCTAATCAATACAAAATTGGAGCAGAGCAAATATTGACCTCCAAAAAAAAATCAAAGATGGATCAGGTGTGATCTGATAAAAATCAGATTGGATTAGGTTCCTTGGAGGAGTGAGCATCCCCTGCTATGTGCTCCTTGTTATGATCAGGAAGTAGCGGAAAAATCCGAAGACAATTCAGTGTGTATATAATATGACCTAAGTTGCAATTAATTTGTATGAAAAACGTGTCAGCGCTAGCATTTGAATTATTGATAAATTGAATCGACCATAGAACTTACAAAATGATGATTTTAAATAAGACTGCTTACATTTTTGATTTAGCAATTTGTCTGTTAGTAATTGACCTCGTTTTAGAAATTGTTCATACATATAGAATGCGCATGCAACCAAGAGATTACTTTAACCAATTTTGGAGGGATATACAAGAATCACCATGTCTGATTACATTTTGTGCAATTTTGTTCAGGCCCTAATTTTGGTAGAGAGACACACTGCTGGGAAGCTCACACTTGGTATAAAGATTGCTGGTGACACTATGAGTCGATGATGTGTCTTAATCTTGACACAAAGGTCATTCTATTAAGGTTTAAATGTGCTTTATTTACCTAATAAGTATTGATCAATGAAAAAACTAGTCAGCTCTCTAGAGTCACGACTTTAAGATTCTGAGGACAAAGTATTTTGATTGTGGTGTATATTAAAGTATAGATGGTTTTCCTTTGACATATTTTGCCTCAAGAGTTATTCCCCTTAGCCACCATCTTGTAGGACAAAGCAGTGAATTTTCCTCTTTGAGCAACAAATTTTAAACATGCATACCAGGTATATTTAAAATCTCAAGATTATGGATTAATAGAGGCTTTAACAAACATATTTTCATAAGAAAAATAGTGTTAACTTTACCTCAGTAATCAGTACAACATATTGAATTTGGTTGAATAATTAAGGGATCAGGGAATGTTGCCCTAGAACATGGCAGCCATAGGGAATAATTCTTGCTAAAATTACCTCAGTGAAAAACCATCTATTGTACCCTAGTTGTTCTGGAGAAGGAGGGATTTATAGCTCACCTCAATAAAGTTGAGAAGAACTTATGCTATACCCTTGACGTCCCCATCCTGGTTCAAGTTTTAGGAGCAAGTCCATTCCCAAATAACTATAAGCCATACCTACACAAAACTTGCATGGAGGATGCATTTAGGGATGCCCACTACTAAAAACCTGCTTTGAATGCTGGATCTGACCTATATTTTCCACATGAGAGGATTTTAGCCATGATTTAATCTTGACAATGTATTTAGAGATGTTTTTTTAGCTCACGTGAGCTTTTCTCTAATCAAAATTTGTTGTTTGCATTGTCATTGTAAAATTTTTACATTTTCATCTTCTCAAGATCCACTGGGCCAATTTCAACTAAGTTTGCCACAAAGTATCCTTGGGTGAAGGAGAGTCAAGTTTGTTCCAATGGAGGGCCACACCTTCTTCAAAGGGGAGATAATAATGAATTAGGGAAAAATTAATGACACCCTTGGACCAAGTAAGATGAAACATGTGGTACATACATAGTGTAGATTCAAGTTTGTTCAAGTCATGACCCTCAGGGGTTGGGTGGGACTACAATAAGGGTAGGGTGGGGCTGCAAGTTTACCCCCTGGGGTAGGGTCGGGCCACAATTGGCAATTATATCTTTCCATTTGGTCATATTTATATGGAAGCATCCTTTGGTACATGTAGAGTAGATTCAAGTTTATTGAAATCATGAACCACATAGGTAGGGTGAGGCCAAAATGGGTGTCTATAGTTTTTACATAGGAAAAATCTTTTAAAATCTTCTCGAGAAGAGCAAAGCTGTGATTCGTGAATATTTATAAAGGGTGTTAAGAAAGTTCATTCTACATTTTTCTTTTATTTTCGAAAAGAAATACGATAAGATATTAATAGCCATTCTCTGTAACCACTTAAACTTCGTTGCCACGCATGGTCACCGATTTTGATGAAACTTCACCCATGCTTAGTACTTGACACCAGAAACAAATATCAAACAAAATTTTGTTGCTATGTGTCTCGGTTGCTATGGCAACAGCCGGAAAAGTTTGAAAAATCGAGATTTTCAGCAATTTTAAATTTTGACTGTGGCTTAATAAAAACTAGAAAAAGCAAACAAACCATTCTCACAAAAACATGACACCTTGATATCATTTATACTGTAAAGAAACTGTTTAGAATATATCTCTTGAAGTAAGTGGTAACCACGGGTACATTTGGAATACATTTAAAATGCTGAAATATGCTGAAAAACACTCCGTATTCACTAATGGTAGGTGATACATGCTCAAACTCAATCAACGACTTAAGAAAAACAATGAAAATGTTTGACCTTAAGTATATAAGTATAAGCAATATTATTCTATAAATGACTTTTATGGTTGCCATGGTAACACAGTGTAACCATGCAAAACCAGTAACTAAGATTGGGTTAATGCTACTGTCTTGAGGAAAAACCTGAAAATTCAAGACTGGCAAATATGCATCCTAAGGACCTTGCAACACCAAAACCATAAGAAAAATTGGGTATAATTGCTACTTTGCAGTGTTACCATGGAAACAAAGTACCAGTGCTTAAAAGTGATTTATTTTTCGCTGCATTCAGAATTAAATTGCCATTTAATCAAGAAACAAATTAAAGGACTCAGCTGAAATAGTACCTATCTGTTAGAACTGAAGTTGAATATCATATATTGATAAAATTTGATGAATAAAACAACACTGTTGCTATGGTTACCAAGAAGGGAAAATGTTCGATTTTGTGAACTTTATATCAATATTAAACCCATTGTGCCAACTTCTTGCATCCACTTAGAAATTTGATGATAGTCAAAATTAAAAATCAAGTTAGTTGTTAATAAATATCAATCATAAAAGTTTTGGGAATCTACATTTAAGGGTACGTATCCAAGGAAAGAAAATACATTTTCAGGTTTTTAAGCATATATTTTCTGCTTATTTCCATAGCAACACTCTATTTATAGAATCTAATCTGAATTTTTTCAAATGGGGAAACTTGGAGCACACCAACATCTTATAAAATTGATCATTAGTTATGAGGAAATGTGCTTTTTTTTAAAAGATAGGATCAGATTTAAACATACAAAGTGTTAACTTGAAGGCTCTCTGTGGTATAAAAACCTTGGCAACCATTGCCAACCAAAATGAAATATCATATTTTGTTCTCGGTATATGTTTCAAGGCTCTTCTTCTATTATTTGGTCACATTTCATCCTATAATCGTTTTATTTTTACATGTATGACTTTATAAAATTCAATGAATATTTTTTTAACTTTTGAATACTTTGTTACCATAGTAACGTATGTAATAGTTGATTTACCAAACATGTTTATCATGCATTTGAGACATCTGAGCTTCAACTTTTGGAAACACTCATTGCCAATTGTTTGCTATGCCGCAAATGTTAACTATGCGGCTCTAAACATGTTAAAAAATGCCATTTTTCGAACTTTAAGACATGTTGCCATGGTAACTATATAACATAGCAACCAATCTTTGCCTGATTTCAGTTTAGGGCATCAATGACTTCTATCATAAAGAGTTTGGAGAAATTCTGAGACCATGCGTGCCACACCTCCTATATAAAATTTCAAATCATTACAGAGAATGGCTCTTAACAATTTGTAATATTTCCTGTTAACAGAGTCCACTTTTGCTATTGATAAGGTTTTGACTGTCTTTTAGTGAAACTATGAGGGGAGGGCTGGTAATAAAACAGATAATATAACAGTTCTTATACCTAAGCTCATCAGCTTGTCTGATGCAAGATAAGCTATGAAGAAACAAAAGTAAATTATCCTATATTTTTACTTAAAATGGCCAGCATTTCTGTCATTTGAGTGCTGTAAAGATGTTATATATATAATTTGAATTAATTTTATATGGAATTAAAACCCTATAACTTCCTGCATGAAATGAATTGCTATAAATCTAAAGCACACTCTTGTGATTTTGTCTGACTTGAAAATTCATCTATTTAGTTAAGCGCTACTTTGGAATTTTTGAAAACATTTCATCATGGAACGAACTTTCTTAACACCCCTTACTTTTCAATACTAAACTGATTTTTCTTCTGCTGTTTCCTAGCCAATATGCTCAGGTGAGCAATGCGGTCCCTGGTCCTCTTGTAAATATCTGATATCCCCTCCCCCCCAAAAAACACAAAAAGGAGAAATAAAAAGGAGAGGG